TCGTGTATAAGTAATACAGACGACGGTTTATGAAAAAACCGTCGTCATATGCCTAAAAATGCGTCGATATCCCAGTTTATTTTTAAGAACCCAAAACCCTATTAAGAACACAACATATACATTAATTTTTATGTTGGGTATTAAGCATGAAACCAAGCATGAAACCAACATATACTAAGCATGAAAACAATAAATCCATTCCCGATTCAATATAACAGAGAGTGATTAAAAGATCTGACAAAGTTAAATTCATTCCCTATTCAACATAACAGAGAGTGATCATGAAAACATTAAACAGAAAATCCATGAACCCATACCTCTAACAACATTATTAAAAGATCGCAAAACATATATCTAAAACCCTTTAACAAAACAACCTAATATCATTCAATGAATTTACAAAGGGAAGATAAGGGTTTGTACTTACAGGTTGGCAGAGCTCACAGATTATGGCCTACTTGGATTCGACGGAGCTTGGAGAGCCCAACTTTGAATTAGAGATTAAGTAAGAGAGCGAAATGTTATGTTGCGCGAAATCTGAAAAATTTAGGGTTCAGGGTTACAAGTATAAGACTTAGAGCGAAATTTGAAAATTTTAGGTCGCGCGAAATTTTTTGGAAAGCGCGCTCTTTAAAACATTGACGGAAAAAACAACCGTCGTTAAAATTTCACTTTAAACATGATGCTTATTACATTAAAGACGTCATGGTAAAACTATGTTCGACGCAAAATCAAACAGCAGTCGTCAAAACTAAGAGAAACCATGGCGAAAGTTTTACCAAAACCGACGTAAATGTACTATCCCACGACTCAAACACTGAACTTAACGCCGTTTATTTTAAAGAAACCTCGTCGTTTGTTGAACCAATGGCATCGTTTGAATAACCTTTTACTTTTTTTTAAAATCAATGACGTTGTTATTCATGTACAACGTCATTTTAAAGGAACATAAACACCGCCGTCAAAAAAATAAACATCGGCTGGAAACATAAATACCGTCGTTAAAAAATAATACCCTAAACCCTAAATTATATATTTTTAAAATATAATTTTATAAAAGGGTTTATGGTTTTACAGCCTAATATATAACAAACATAAACCGTAAACCCCAAAAATTATCCTTTAATCCTAAACCCTAATAAATAACAATCCTAAACCCTAAACCCTAAACCATCAAACTATAAGTGATGTTATGACTCATCAAAACAATTTATTTTGGGTAGTCATTTTAAATTTGTATTACTCAAACTGAATTTTTTTTAAGGTTTAGGGGGAAGAAAATGTATCAATGACTTCATAGGAGTTGACGTTTCATTTTTT